AAATCAGCATATTAGAATTAATTTTGAAGGATCGTGTGACACTGAATACTGGAGAAATGGCTGCTGAAAAGTAGTATACAGTATAAAAATTAATTTAGAGCAGCAAGTAATTTATTTTGTTTTTATTTATTTATTTATTTTTGCCATTGAATTCAAATGACAGGATGAGAAATTCAACACAGGAAATGCATTCTGGGAAATTAAGTGGTAAATTAAATTTATTCATAACACTGTAAGGACTTTGAACCTTCAAACTTTAAGGCTTTTTAAAATTATTTTCCAAACTTTTAAACAGCTTTATAAAGTTAACATTTAAAGTTGGTCTTGCTATTCAAGTTAAAATTTGCAATTATGAATTTTAATTTAGTTTAATTAAACTTCCTTGCATTCAAATATAAATTAAAATTATTCATTCTGTTTGCTACCTCAATTTAAATTCAGGAATTGGAATAATTCAAATGATTCAATTTGGAATTTAAACTCAATTCTGAATGGCACACAACCATTCAAAGAATCTATGATTTTGACATCCCTAGTAAAACGTGTGATTTTCTGGTGCTCATCTAAGTTCAAAAACAAAGAAATCTGCCGTCAAAAAGACTCTCATCAGCACAAAAAGTTCAAGTGTGAATACAGCCTTTTCTCTTCCCAAGATCCCTAGGGATTATGATACTCCACAGAGAGAAAAGTGTCATCGCAATCTCATTAACTCATGCTTTAAGTCCAGGAATGCATGAAATCATGATGTCAAACTTCCACTGTGGATTTAACAGCACACCAAATTTGACTACTTATTAATATCTACATTGAGTCTAGCCTGGGGCAATCCACGTGTCAGTGGAACCAAGCCAAAACCAGGAACCGAGAAAGAGAGATAGCGAAAGGAAGTGAGAGAGACTTTTGAGAAGAGGAGGAGCCATGAGTGAGTGGACCCAGATGGACATCTGCTGCGCTCTTGCAGGCTGAACTAATCCCTTCGGTTAGCGGTGCTCACAGGGTTAAAGCCTCTCTGATGGCAGATGTCCTCTGTCGCTTGCCTTTTTGCCCTCTACCAATGCATCCACCAGTCACCACCAATGAGGCCCATTACTTAGACTAAGGCACATGCACATACGTACACTACTAAATCTACAGGGTAGTACAATTAAATCTGTAGGGTAGCATGAAAGCTAGGTCAAGACCAGAGGTTGCAGTAGCACGTTTCAGAAAACACACATCATGCTGCCTACTGTTTAAGACTAAGCTTTACAAAAAGGAAGAAACCCAAACATATTTATACACACACAATTTTTTTAGTTTTTAAAAGAAGTTTCTTGCTCACCAAGGCAGCAGATCTAAAATGCAATAAAATCAGTAATGTTGTGAAGTATTAAAATAACTGTTTTCTATTTGAATATATTTTAAAATATAATTTATTCATGTGATGGCAAAGCTGTATTTTCAGCAGCCATTACTTCAGTCTTCAGTGTCATATTCATATGTTGATTTGGTGCTCAAGAATATTTTTTGTGTAATATTTTATATTTTGATGTTTTGAAGTTCAAAAGAACAACATTTATTTGAAATAAAACATTTTTGGTAAATGTCTCCACACTCACATTTCAATTAATTGAATGCATCCTTGCTAATTAAAAGTACTAATTTCTTTCAAAATAATAATAAAAAATCTTACTGACTTGATTGAGCGGTAGTGTGCATGTACTGTATATATGCTGTTCGCTGCTGGTGGAATGACCTGCCCAACTCGATCCGAGCAGCTGAGTCTTAAGCCATCTTCAAGAAATGGCTAAAGACACATCCATCTACACTTGACCGTCTAACACTAGCACTCTCTATTCTATTTCTATTTCTATTCTATCTACTTATTTTCTTTTGAATTATTATAAAAAATATTATAACTTGACCCTCTAACACTATCTCTATTTATTTTCTATCTATTGTTTATTATTTTTATTTATAAAAAAAAATAATAATAACTTGTTACGTGTACTATGTTAGACTAACCGGGACTTATCACAGCACTTATATATTGTTGCTCTTTTGTTGGTTTGATTGCTTCTATTGTCCTCATTTGTAAGTCACTTTGG